AACCTTCACAAGACTCACAGACTAACATAGTTTCTGTCAAAAATCTCATGCTTCAATGTGTAAGAATGGGCTTTGATTTTTATTTTTCTAATAACAGCTATCATATGTAAATAAAGTCACAATATACTTAACATACTGAAAAATTAAGCAACTTTTTTGCAGTGGATATACAAATTTTCTCTTAAGTTGATGTGTTTTTTATCACCAGCGAGAAAAAAATATATTTATAATCCATGATGCTGCCAAGCATACGTTTTGAGTTTAACTTAAACAGATTTAGCTTAACCTTAACTGTAACAGGTTTAACAGGTACACTCGTACATTGAATAAATTTAGCTGCTGAAATGTTTTCAACCTGAGACAAGTATTTTATATGTTTATTTCTAGAAGAATTCAAAACAGCTTACCTATAGTAGCACTGAGATATCAAACTCTTATTAACTCATATGGCAGTTTTTGTTCAGAGCACATAAATAAGCTTTTTGGATCAGTTTCACTAAGCTTCAGGCTTTCCTTGTCTCACCCTTAAGCTGAGTGATTTAAGTTGTCCTGAACTAGGTAATTCCCATCCCACAACATCTGATTCTAGGAGGTATTAGGGAGGAAGAGGGGAGGTCGTGTCTCATGCATATTAGGAACTGCAGTAGTTGTAGTGATTAAAATAGCTGATTTAATTTTTTTTTAATACTACATTTGTGCTTCATTTTAGAGTTGCCCTCTGTGTTGATGGCCAAAATAGATTTTGCATAAATAGCCACAATCTGCTGGGAGAAGAAGCTATTAAACAGAGACATCTTCAGTTGCTTGGTTATGAAGTTGTGCAGGTAAAGTCTATGCTTTTGCTCTGGCTAACAAAACAAGTGAAAAATTATTACTTTATCACAGTTAAAACTGTAGTTGCAATTACTTCCCAAGGCAGATGTAGCCTTGTCCTTTCTATGTTATGTTCTCACTGTCTAGCTTTTGCCATTTGAGGGTGTTACAGAAATTCCTTGCGCTTCCTTGGGTCAGTTAGGGTATTCTGCCTGTGTTCTCTGCCAAATAGTGGCTGAGTATTTTACTGCAGTGATGAAGGTTCAGATCTTGGCTTAAAGAAAAATGTTGCTTAAGAGTTCAGTAGAACTGGAATTTTTAATTAAATACTTTTTTAAAAAGGTCTTAATTTGGAGTTTATAAAGAGGAGTTAAAAAAAGGGAACAGCTTTGTACTGTAATATTTTCACAACAAGGTATATCCTTTACTTTTCCTGTTGAATTAATGGGGGTATTTTTAGCTTTAAACATACTTTGTACAAAAACAGTTACTTTTAGATTTTTGAGATTTTCTTTTCCGTTTATAATCATTTATCACATAAGCCTAACTGTTATATTTAACTTAGTTTAAACTGTAATGGTTAGCATTCTTTGTTAGCAATGGTTAGCAGTAATGTCTATTCAGGCGATTTACAGATCAGTAATACACTTAGGATTAAGTGTTTAGTTTTAAAATGGACAAATCTTTAGTGTGAAATTTTATATCTGCATAATGAACATCGATTTTACCCAGTTGTTTATTAAAAGGTATTTCCAGCAATCATTTTTGTTTTGTTTCCAGATTCCATTTTTTGAGATAGAAAGTCTACAGAATTGCAGAAAAATGGCAGAGTATCTACACAAAAAAATCTTTCCTCATACATATGGACTCAGCTGCTGACACTGATGAATAAATCACAGGTTGACCTCCTATACTATGAAGTGTAAATGTTGTGCATGGAAGAACAATTCTGTTTTCTAAATAACTCCTCCTAAGATAATTTGAGCTTCTGAATGTGAGACCGTCCAATATTTGGAGCAATTGACATGTAAAGAGTAATAAAGAGCAAAATATTTTTCTTAAGTTTTGTGTAAATATTAATTATAAGCTAACAGGTCTAAGTGCCAGACAGTCAGCCCTGTGTTTCCTTTGTATTTTTACTGGCTCTAACTCACAAGTGCAGACAGACAGATGTGACTATTGAAGGATACTGGCTGGTGCTGAATGTTCAGAATGGGCCATGCTGCGTACCGATATGGCTTTTCTTGACAGTATAGAAATAAATTGTGCAATTTACCCATACCTGTTTGTGTGATTCCCCAAGTGTTTCGTAAAACTCAATTTGGCAGTAGCTGCACAAGCAGTATTGGCTTACTGCTCATACTTAAGAGATGTAGAGTGCTGTTAACTAAATAGCAACGACTTACAGAAAATGAGAACATTTTTATTAAAGATTCTCTTTACTTTGTGAAAGAACAGCTGCCGTGGGGTAGTGGACTCGCACAGCTGTCTCTGTGGAGGCTGCCTAGGTCTAGGTATGTAGTATTTGTCATTTTGTCTTTGGTGGCAGTTGTAGCTAAACTGGCTAAATGGGGTCATGTACGTGCTCCAGAGTTCCTCCAGTGTACAGCCTGCCATTTGAGCCTAAACTGAAGCTCATGATGCTTTGAGGCTCAGAAGAAACATGTCCCCTGCAGTCCTTTTTGAAGTATCAGTATAAATTCTGGCAGAGAGGCAGAGCTGAGAACTGGAACCAGTAACCACTTCAGCTGGAGCAAGCATGCCCTAACTTGAGTCAAGGTGTTGCTTTACAGGTGGACGAAGGGTAACGCAGCCTTAGTTCTGATCACAGAACGGATGCTTGATGAACTGCTGTGTAAAACACATCTACAGGTTAGCTTGTGCATTCTTTCCTGTGTGGAATTGTTATTGATGAGTAGCAGAGCAGAATGCCCAGCATCACCTGGTTTGATTTTAACGATCATGATTTGATACAAAAAAGGTGGAACTTTACATCCTTGAAGTTCTATATATTTCACTGCAGAACTTGGCCATCTTTTCCTTCCAAGGCTACTGGGTTGCAGATGTCTGTCAGTTGTCCCAACAATCCCTGTAGATTTTTGAATGCAAAATCTAGATCCAAAATATGATTTACGTTGTGTCATGGTGTACACTCCATTCATGTTAATTTGTCGCATGTATAAAACCCTTCCTCACAGCATTATGTCAGCACTGACAGGTGAGGAGGGAGCACCAAGTGGTAATGAGATACTTTCCAACAGTGTGATAGGAAGCTCACAGCACATCATTAACGTAACAGATGTCATCCTACCAAAAGAGAAATTGAAGATAAATGACTGAAATGTCTCTGCAGACATTTATAAGGACCTTCTCCTTAATAGAGAAGAAATTGTCAATGTATTCTTTTGACACCAGAAGTCCACCACTCAGAACAGAAGGAGAAACAAGTAGTAGGAGAGGAAACTCTGAAAAGCCTTCAAAAGTGAGGAGCAATGAGAAGGGGCTGAAAGAGAAGGGGGTGGCACAAGCACAGAAATGAGAAAGGAAAAGAGAGACTGGTGTCAGTGACACACCTTTCTTCACGGTGGGAGCTGGTAATGGCTATTTCTCACACAGGCCAGGAGGTGGAGATGTTCTCAAGCAGATTTGATTTCCCGTAGTTATTCAAACACAGATGGTTTGTAAATATAGTAAGGCTACTTAAAAGAAGTAATTTGTACTGACTGTCCCAAACTAAAAATAACCTGTCTATAATATGGCCATATTCCATCTCATTTCACTGGTATACATTTGAAACTGATTTTTTAAAAAGCATTCTGGTATTGTTAGAAAGCCTTTCCTTCTCACTTTGTTCTTCCTATGATTCCTTTCATTTAGTGCTGCTGGATTTGTTTAGCAAAGTATTTATTGTTGAAAAGGAATATAGCAGTTACTACCCCCTTTGTCCCTCACTCACTGAATGTAGAGGAGCTTGCTGGTCATGAATAATGAAAGCAATAAACACCTCTGGAATGGGTGGTTTGGTACCCTGTGCTTATCACATCATGCCAAACAAGTGCTATTGATTGCCTAATTTACTATTTATCCAGGCCTCAGATTGAGTTTGTTTTTATTATTTTTTTACTAGGAGACTTACTGTGTTCACAAATGATACAGGTTTCCTAAGTGTTAAGTACCTGACAGAACTGCAGTGTCAGTCAAAAGCTGTGGCCTTCCAGTCCTTCTGGTATGATCAGTCCAGCTGTTCCTTTCTGAATACAGCCTCAGTGTTAAACAACAGCAGGATCAGTGGCTCTTGGGAACTAAACTGATGCATACCTTGCAGGAGACACTCCTGCTCCTGAAATTACCTTTTAACTTTAGTACTAGAGTCAGTGAGAATAACAGCACTAAATGTTTAAGCAGGTTTAGACATTTACTTTAAACGTACTTAAATGACTACTGCTAGAATCCTTGTATTTCCCCCATCCTTTCTATATCTGTATCTACCATCCTTTCTTTTTTTGAGCATTGGATACAGAACCAAAGATCATTTTTCTTGTGACACTCCTGAACAGATCAGTCCTTCAGACGCCATTCATACAGTGAAAGTCAGCACTATGGATGTCTCAAATCAGCTAAGCCCAGATTTTATCTATTTAAATGCTAAATACTCAGGAGTTGCCTTTAGCTTGACTTCAACTGAAACTGCAAAGCACTTCTCTTAAGTCCATCTGTGGGTAAGCCTGTCCATTTTGGAAAATCTGACTTGAACCCCAGTTTCAGCTGTTGCGCAGATAAAACGACACCTAGCAATTTTGTAGCAATACTGTAAGGATTAAGAAGTCAGTGACCACTGATACCCTGAGGAGCAAGCTCGCTTAAATGTGAATAGTCATGTAGAAGCACTGCCTAAAATAGCAGAGAGACACCTGTTGACCCAACAGGTCTCATTTCCAGGTTCGCTACCTAAAATGTTCAGCTTTTGTTGATTCTCTTCGTGAGATTTATATGAGACTGTAAGGAGAAGACATGCACTTCAAGAAGCATGAAGGAAAAAGTACAGCTGCTATTTCATCCTATTTTTAATCCAAGTCATTCTCATTAACAGAAATGTAAAGGAAAAGGCAAAAGCACCATATTGCTTTTTGATGCAAGGTGGGTTTTATTCCATGTGAATGTTGCTGGCAGCGACAGGTACAAGAGATTTAGCATGGATCCAGGCTTGGAGAAGGTTTTTCTGATAAGCAGGTGATGCCATTTTTGCTATAGAATTCTGCCTTCATGCGATTAATCCTTCCATAATCTCTGATCGGCTGCTCTATGGGCTTATTTACACGTCTCCCATACTCTGAAGATGACAAAACAGCAACAGGTCTTGCCATTTCCTGTGAAAATATAAAATTCTCCTTGTAAGAAAATCACAGAGCGGGTACTTGGCAGTTATCTACTGCTAAATGCACCGTAACCAGGGGCAAAATAACAGACATGACTGTACAGCATCTGCTGTATGGATGTATATTTATTTAGCAGTGGTCTGCACTCTTACTGTTTCATCCATGACCTAGTTTTTTATGTATATTAATAAACCATGAATCTATCACTAGATGACAAGATGATAAGATATGGAGCTGTGCCATGAGTTACTGTGGACCGATAATTTTCACACACCCCCCCCCACACACACTATTACCTTGTGATTACTGGCAAACTAAATGCCATGATACTGGAAAGAGGCACAGATTTTATTTTCATTCTTATTTTTCTTGTGCACTGACTTGCATAATTAATTTGAGAAATGGGAGATTTAATTTGCATCCCCTCACTTACCCTGCTTACACAATTCAGTAAAACCCCTGCATGAAAAATACCAAAGCCTAAAGAAAAACCCTGAGCAACCACTTGTCCATGCAAGCTTTCCCTGGAGGACATAAAAGCATATGCTACTGTATTTTTGCACAATGAAAGGGTTTACAAAAAATGGTTGTAGCTGTAAGATTACAGAAATAACTGCTCTGCAGTGATGGAAAGTGGACTTGGTGAAAAACAACCTGAGCAAGAAAAGATTATTTTAAGGCTGTTCTTAGTAAACTGCACTTTAAGTGGCTGTGCAATCAGTATCCGCAATCTGCGGTTCCTTCCTGTGCAACAGCAATGGGGAGCTCTGGAGTCAGAAGGGAAAGACAGGATTTGTTTGTTTTTCTTTCTCTAGCCAAAGGTCTCAGATTTATCAGGCTGCTTGTGTGTTTGCTCACTGGCTAGCACAGTAAGTCTTGGTCCCCAATGTGTTTACCTACTCTTACAGTATAAATAATATCTACAAGGAGAATCAAAATTCACATGCCACACCACAGCTCAGGTGCCAACAAGTGACTTCTTTGCTACAACAGATGTAAGTCTGGGCCATACTGGCACTTATGATGGACCCATGAAGCACATGAGCCCCTGCATTTCTTGTGAGGATGCAGATGGGAGCACAGATCCAAGGGGTCACATAACAAGGCAGACAGACGTGAGACATTTCCAGACTTGTGGACAAAAGTAGACCTAAGATTCTTGGGAAGATGCTGCAAACCTCTTTATTAAAAAAAACCAAAAAAACCCCAAACCAAAACAAACAACAACAACCACCAAAAAAAAACCCACAAAAAAAACCCCAAAACCAAAACCCAAACCAAACCAAGACAAAAAAACAAAACAGAACTAAAAAGAACCAGAATAGCCTACTCCAAAACAACCGTTCATCCTCCAACTCTTCCCCCTACCCTTCCTGCCTACCTTGCCCATTAAAAGCTATTCAGTACACCAACTTATAACCCCACCAGAACAAAACTCAAGGCAAGAAGAGTGGTAGGCAAAAAAAAAAAAGATTGTTTTCTCCCCACCTCCGGTTGTGGATAAATGTTCAAAAAGGAGAAATGACAGAATTTTTGTACCGCAAGAAAAGCTTTGCTAGTGATACAGGGTTTGCAGTGCCAACGATGGGCAGCAGTAATTCTGATAGTCTGTGTACCCTTTAAGTAACTAAGATTCAGTCTGCAACATCCTCGGTAGCACAGCACTGCCTGCACTCAGTGGCATTTCATCTTTGCAGGTTCGGCATTCAGCAGATTTCCGATTTTCCAACAGTTGGCTGGGAAGCATCCCACTGCCACTGCACGCCTTCGCAGCCGGTAATTCCAGCTCTCTCAACACTTGTGATCAGCAACGGCAGCCTCGTGCAAATGCTCCGCTGCAGCCACTGTGCTGCGTGGAGCTACACTGAGGATCTGTGACTGTGCTGCTGGATTCCCTGGGTGCACCCAGGCTCTCTGCAGGAAATGAAAGGCTCACTGGCAGTGGTTTGGGCTTTTCCCACTTCAAGAAAAGGAGACTACTGTGGTGGATTCAGCCTCTCTCCTTTCAGAGTTGCACTAAAAAGTTGTCAATTGTGGTCTTTTATTATGTTTTATGTTTTATGTTGTTGTTGTTGTTGTTGTTATTAATTAAAGAGCAGGAGTTGAGTATGTGACCTGCACATGGTTATGGCTATGTCCAGTGTTGGGTGTCATCAAGTGCGGGAGGATCATGTTGTAACATTTGACAGCTGTGGGTTTGATGTGTCTCCATGCTAATTAAAGGGCTGGATTAAGGGACACCTGTTCAGGCAGAGTCCCTTGTGTGCACTGGCCCATACGTGTTTGCTTTAGGAGGCGAACTGGTAGAACAGTGAGTTTTGTTGATACAACAAACCTTAACTATAAGTGTTTCTACACAAATTTCCCAGCTGGAGGTTGGGCTTGATATTGAGGGAGCAGGGTTGGCTTTGTTTTGTTTCAATAAAAAGGCTCATTTTTAATTGGAGTAGCCATTTACATGGCTTTTGGCCTCACACATTTGCAGTTGAGTTACCGGGTATGAGAAGGTGACATGATGGTCATGTGCACTCCTGGGATTCATTTGGGAGCACCTAACACTCCCTGCCCTGTGTGACAAGAGTTGAAGGGCATTATGGCTGTGCACTGAAATGTCTGGCAAACACAGCTGCTAGTGAGAGGAATCACAAGCAGTGGCCTTTGTCCCAAAATCTCAAGTTTTATTACACAGCAATTCCAGTAATTTTAACTTTTGTCTCTGTCTTCCTTCTTCCATCTCTATCATATATAACCACCAACACAAGCAGGCATTCTTAGTCTACCCACCTCTTCACATCCCATGAACCCATCAGGATTTTGAGGCCATTAACACACAGAGTTTGCACTTCATTTGGCTTTTAACAGCCTCTGCTTCTCTGTATGTATGTGTATAGAGATATAAATATAAATACATACATATATACACACTTGTGTATGTATATTATTCAGATGCTGCATGGAAAAATACATTTTTATATATATATGTATATATATTTTAATATTTCTGTTTTCAAGGCAGCAGTTTAGCAACATGGCTGCATACTTCCTTAGCTATCAGGCTGCCAGATTTTACTGGTCTTGAATGCTTTACCCAGTCTTCTCCAGGCATGTCCGTGGTCTTCTGATTGACCCCTTCTTTGCAGTAGCTCCCTATGAATTGCCTTCCTGCAGAGCAATCTGGTGTAAGTTTGCGCAACAAACTCATCAGCTTCAGAGACCTGGGCTCTCTCAGCTGGCATAGGCTGGGTGGATGTCAGAGGGCAGTGGTTGAGTAGGGACCCCTGAATCCAGTCCTCTCAGGAAGAAGAGTTTTCAAGCATCACAGAAATAGCTGCAGGACCACCTGAACTGCAACTCTCAAGGGGCACAGACAGTTGAGAAGTTGCTCTCAGTGACCCTGAAGCTCTGTAACAGAGGGTTCGCCTTGCCTCATGTAGCTCTTCCCCCATGATTTAATTTGCATATGGCTTGTCACCTGGAAAACTACAGGATGTCAAAGAGTAGGAGCTAACTCAGGTGTCTTCACTGGCTAATGCTTTTTCCTACACTTCCAGGCTGAGGACGATGATGTTCTCCTGCTTCCTTTGATATCACATAGGCTACATTATAAAGGGTAAAACGATGACTATAGTCTCCAGCCATGTCAGAAAGTACAATATGCCTTTAACAAATATAATTATGAAATTATCAAAGGGTTACCTCCTCATTAATGTTAAGACCACGACTCTTTGCATGTTGTCTGTCAGATCGGTGAAGATGTTTGTTGTAATCCTCTTGCCTCTTAAAAATGGAATCATAAACAGAAACATGTCCTACCTTGAGAAAAAGGGGAAAAATGGTTAATTCACAGTATTGGTTAACTTTACAGGTTACAGAATATATGTAGTTGAATCAATACTTAATAACACTTAATAATTAATAACTGCACATATAGCATTAGATGATGGCAGCTGTAATATTACTGAGCTACCATTAGCAAATTTGGGTCACTCCTTTGGAATAGTCTGCAATAAAAACACCTAATGACATGTGGTATCTTTTTAAAGTCCGTTCAGCTCTGAAATTTCCCTTGTGGCAATTTATCTCATTTTTTCCTTGTAATCTGTTGTAACTTTTCGAAATTTAACTGCTCTGTTTGTCTGTTGGTTTTACTTTTCTATAATTTATATTCTCCTTAAGATCATAAATTTGTCAGATGATCTGGCACTGTAATGTAAAAGGAAAGCAGATAGTTTCAGAATTCATTTGGAATGAAAAAGACAAAGGTATCCTGCAGTGGAATCACCATTTAATTTCGATTAAAGTGGAATTGAGAAGAGTTCAGAAACATGCCACAGTGGTAGTCCTTGATCCGGCAGCATGCACGTATCTGTCACATACGAAAGTACAGCACACCCCAAGCCAAAATGTTATGTAATTTATGATACCTGTTGTCATAGTTGCATCCAAATAAGCAACATTGAAGATCTGATCTGCTAACAAATGCATTTGTGAAATCCAGCTGAGAAGTTTTCATCAATAGAATCAAATTAATTTCAAAATAAAAAATGTTTTCAAGGAAAGAAAAGAAAAATCCTCTGTTGAAATATGCTATCAGTTGTTAATGAACTTCACTATAAGCTCTATGTTCTGGTAAACATGTCAATTGATCACTGGTTTTGTGCATGTCTGACTGCAAATCTGAAAAATTGTGCATTTTGTTGAGCTTTTTTTTTAAACCTCTAATTTTATAGTGTACCAAATTTAGCCTTTGAAAAACTCTTGTATTTTAAGTCTTATGATTTACAATGCTATTCTCCAAAAATAGTAAATTCAGGGCAGGTCAAGATGGCTACAATGGTTCCATTAAAAGGAAACCATAGTTAAGACCGCTAATGAGGCACTGCTGTATTCACAGGCTTCTTTTGGAGTATCTCCATTGCTTGGTTCTGCCAAGAGGAGACGTGATTTGATATTTAATTTATCCATCCCTTCATTTCTCAGAAATCATCAAGCCTCATAGAATTTCAGGCACATTCAAGAACATCCTGCATTTGATTTGTTACCTCTATTATTATTACTATTATTATTACTATTATTATTATTATTATTAATTATCATCATCATCATCATCATTATTATATTTATTATTGTCAATGTCAATGTTGTTGTTTTATTGTTGTTATTATTATTATTATTTCTGTGCTTCCCTGCTGCTTCTTTCCACCCCACGCCACCAGTTTAGTTCAGAATTTTAATAGGCATCTAATTTGTGTCCTCCACCGGTAATGTTATTTGCTCCTTTGTTTTTATTCATGTGGCATTATTTGTCCATTACTTGTTACCTGTGACAGTGCAGATCATTCATTTTTCTGGATCTTGCAGCTAGGTAGCCAGCCTGTCATGTTAAAAACTAGCCCTGTCCCAGATGATCTGTTTAAGATCTTCTGCCAGATGTGTGGAGGCAACACTTCAGTGCTGAATATACTGATGAATTTTTGCTGTTGTTTCTCTTTGTTATTAAACGCTGACTTAGTTGGCCTGAGCGGTGGTGGTGGGGAGCTGTTTCTTAAACCCGTCAGAGCAAGCGAATCACGCAGAGCAGACAAGAAATTTGCACTCACGGTGGGCATCCTCTGTGTATTGCTACTAAAGCTGAGCACTTTGTAAACATTCATTAATATTCCAGACACACATAGAACAGGTAATAGCTTTTTCCATGTCACAGTAGAGGAAATACCATGCAAACTGGCTACAGTAACTTATGTAAAGTAATAGAGGGAGCAACTGCCAGCCAAGGGATTAAGAGGCAAGAATTTCTGGCTTTTGGCCAAGTGCTGAGCGTATCTTCCTCTATTTCTCTCTGCCTCAGTCTCTGACACACAGTTGGTTTTAGGTATTTAAGCTGCAAAGAGGAATTAAATTCCTTTTCCTGTATAAATAAAAAATGTTACATGATCTAATTCCTTAATTGTGCAGAAGAACAGGTTGAATCTGTGTCTTCCCCTATGGCCAAGGCCTGTGCTGTGAAAAAAACCACCAACTTATTAATCAGCTGAAACAGAAAACTTTCTGTTTTCATGCCACTGGAGCAGTATTTTCCACAAACCAGATCATCAGGAGTGTGAAAGCAAACTTTATACTGTAAGCAAAAGCTGCACCATATGGCTGCTAATTCTGTGTAGATTAGACAGACTGCCAGCTCCACCAGCCCCAAGTGCCCTCTGACCTGCCTTAGCCTTACTCTTGTCATGCTCTCCCTACTGTGTTTTGTTAAGCATGGCACTAACTGCACCCTTTGGCTCAGAGCACTTTCCCAGGGCAATGCTGAAATCAACAGGAAGGAGTCTGAAATTACAGATCTCCCTCTCTTTTAGCAGGGCCATCCTGTCAGTGGTGGGAATGGGGTTTGCGGTCCCTTCAATGCCCAGCGCTGTGCTGTGCAGCCAGGCTGAGTGCTAGGGCTGTGCCACCTGCAAACTCTCACAGGTCACCAGTTGACACTGCCCAGTGCTCTGCCCATTCGGTAGCCTGTCACTAGGGGGAAGAGGGGATTCACGGGGTGTATTTATTGTTAAAAATAAGTAAGTTGCCATAGTATTGCTATATTAGATTGATACAATAATAGACATTTCAGAACTTTTAAATGTGGGGTTTTTTGTTGGCAGGGAGCAAAAAGCCATTAAGTTCAGTGTCTCACATGACCCTTTTCAGAGAGAAAGGCTTTTTTACCCAGGAAGTATAGCCCAGCTGAGGTGTAAGATTGTATTTCTGATTTTAAATATGAGGACAGAGAGAATGAGGAAGAAGGGTGATATAATGCAGCAGAGTGAGGGGTGAGGCTGAAGGTTAAGTGTCCTTAACACCTTCAGAAGCATTCAGTTATCAAGGCATATGTTGATGATACTGTTTTGAATAGCTCTCTTGATTTTCTTTATTAAAGCTGAGCATATGGAAAATTTATGGTATGCACATTGAAAATCTTTTTCCTCGACTAAAAAATGGAGCAGTTTCTTATTAAAGGGTCCCTGAGGATGTGCATTACCAAAAAAACCACAGGTGCTGCATCCAACCCTAGTCACAGATGATGCCTTTCCTAGTGCTCCCCCATTTAGGTGATAGCATGTAGCCTCTTGGTCCTTACTCCTTGGCAAACTACTCTGCCTTCTCACCCCATCCAGGGAAAGACATCACCCTCATTTTCTATCCACTGGTAGCAAACACCTGTTGCACTTTGCAAAGGCCTCTGAAGATAAAAACTGCTGTTTAGGCATCAGATAGCCAAGCTAGCGACTGACACACAGCATTTCTGCTGCCCTTTGAAATACTAATGGAAATTGTTTTTTAGACACCTTCCTGAGAATGTCCCTCACGACGAGGGCCAAGCCCTTGCAGAAGGACCGACTACAACGTCCTTACGCTGTGCTGAAACTCGAGGGGAAGGCTTGTCCCTCCAGCCCTGCCGGGCCCTGCGAGGCTCCCCTGCTCTCCCCCGCCTCGCTCCCTTCTCCCCCTCACCTTGGCCTCCCGGTGGAAATAGCTGAGCTCCGGAGGCCCTTCCCGTCTGGTCGGGATGAGGCTGAAGGCAGAGAGAGAGGAAAGGGGAGGCCCTCGCCCACTTCCTGCCGGAATACCGAGTGCCTCCTCTGCCCAGCCCGACCCTCCTGCGGCCGGAGCCCCCGGGGCGAACGGGGG